ATTGCTTCAATTGATTCGTGTATTCATACCATAAATGAAAACAAATGAACAAAACTAATAAATAAGTCGTGTTTTAATGCAAACTATATTTGCCTTAAGAAATGTCATACTTTTGGTTTAGTTTACAATTAAAAACAGTTTAACAATAATGACTTGTGTTTAGAAATTAACAAAAAATAGTTAACAAATTGGGAGTTATGTCTCTACATGTGTTAAAATATAATCAAAGAAATAGTGATTAAAAAGGGAAACCAAAATACAAAATAATATAATTTTTGTGTTTTTGTTCATTTAATTTTAAACATAATAATAACGAATTAAAATTAAAACTTAAATTTAAAGTAAATTACTTTTACAATCGTTTTGATAGCATATCATACATAATAGGGTTAGAGATTTGCCACTCAAATGTAGTGAATTGTCTGATTACTGGTCCCATTCATTATGTTTGAGACAAACTCAATGGTTTTCAACAAAAAATTAAATGTAAATCAATTACAAATGAAATATACATTAAAATAACAATCGATTTCTGTTTTACTAGTAGTATCGGATTGAGATGTAATTGAAGCTATCAAACAAACATCAGTTTATTTTTAAAGGCTTCTCTAATCATAGGATTTAAACTTTCAAATGGCTTAAAGTTTATTTCAACTCTAAGTTTCATTTGATTAATGAATCGAAAGGTTTTTACAACAGAATTGCAGTCTTTAAAAATACTTCAGAAATAAAAATTAAACAAATGATAAGTTTCTTAGTTTTTTAGTCCTATTGTAATCATTAAAAGGCATTTAAATTGTGATTCATATAAACATTAGTTAATTTTTTTGATTAAAGATAAATATGTTTATAACGAAACGAGAAATGTATAAAATAATGACAACTGTTTATCAAGCAATGGTTTAGTATATGGTATATATTCTGTAAATATTGTTTTTAATTTGCTTTTTATATAAAAAGATTTTTTTATTTTCAATAATTATAGCAAAAAAGAGATAAATTATACACAAAATGATGCGCCAAGTGATGAGATTGACTGATGTGTCGATTCTTGTGTGGAAATCCATGTCTTAACCACTGTTTGAAGCGTTGCTGTTATTAGAGTTGGAGTTAATCTTATTATCATTGATTAAAGTCGTCGATGAAATCGGTTGGCGTCTAATGAATTCAGGGTTGAGTTCTGTAGCAGTGGTCTGAGCACTGGTCGTCGTGTTAGATGTGGTCACCGACTGCTGCTGTTGTGCGACCCAATCGCTGGTCAGGTGGGGGTTGTGGTGGGAATTCACTGAATGACATACTTTGGCGGCGTTGGCACCGCTGCCAACACTACATAAGACACTATCACTACTGCTGTCACTCTTTTTATAATATCCGTTAACATATGAACCAATGGTAGCACCGCTTATATGACTGGAATTAGTGCTTCCGGTGTCGCACAGACTGTTTATATTAGCGTAATGTGGAGACAAGTCATCCATCAGAATGTGATCCGATTTGTGTGGACTCGATGTCAGGTTTTGTATGGATGGAGACGAACGAAACGATGGATGCAATTGTTGTTTGTTCGACGACTGGATGTTATTCAGTGATGAGGACGAGGAGGACATGTTTGTGAGCGCCATATTCTCCTGTTCGTCCAGAAAGCGGTCCATATAATCACTGCAAACATACAAACAATGGTATACCAGTTGAAGAGAGAGAGAGTGAGAGAGAGAGTGAGAGAGAGAGCGAGAGAGCACATACGTGGTGCCTGGATGCAATGAATATTTCTTCTTTTCGAGTCTGAATTTAGTGGCGAAGACATCGTGTCTTTCAGTCTTTTTCCACAAATAGTAGAACTGAACTAATTCTTCGACAGAACGCGTCCTCACCTTAACGTCAAAACAATTGAACATTAATTTCAATCAAATAAACAAAATCTCATTTCATTTAATACTTTGTTTTGTTGAACTAAATGAAAGTCTTTGCCATAACTTCTAAGTCCGGCTTCGAATGCCTTGCATTCCTCCTCAGACCACGAGCTCATGGACTCGTTGACTGCGGGCAGGTTTGGTGTGGTTTTCTTGCGACGAATGGCTTCCTCGACATTGTGTCCGCACTGATGCAACAGATAGAGGGCCTGTTCGTCATCTCGAATGTGAGATCCGGTCGGCAATAGAGTCGTCGAAACCACATCTTCTTCGGTCGACTCTTCGGATTGAGAAAATTTAATCAAATATTCTTCAATGTCTTTGTCGGTGAGAAACGACGGATTCCATAGGAGTCGGTCCTCATTCTCATAAGCAGGTGCGCCGTCATAGTGGGACAGACCCTCAGGAATGGACGCCTGATAGTCAGAGCCCACTTGAATGGTTCGCCTCCAGTCTTCTTCGTTGGCCGAGAAGTCTTCGTCGGACTCGTCGTCAGACGAATCGCTGACCATATTTTGGTTATTCATGTGAGTGAACGGCTGAGAGGAACGTAAGTGCGAGACACCTATCAGTTGACTAGTATTTGGGTTACTATTTGAATGCAATTCTGGGGCCGAATGTGCATTGGATTCAGTGGTCGGTGTTGTCGACGTGGCCTCTGCCCTCTCCACCGACTTATCACTACTTGAGCCCACTTTGTCTGTATAGCCATACAATGCCAACAACTCCTCCAAAGGCATCTCACCCTCCTGTCAGTCGACAAACCATTATTACAATTGAGTTTCAATTCAATCACAAATACTGTATTGCTTTCAATTAAATGGTTAGAGAATACAGAATATTCTGTCTATTATTTATAAGCATATAATTTGGGATCAAATGTGACAAAAGTCGCCAAAAGTATTATAATCAATGCATGCCTTCTGCAAGTCGTCGATCTCTTCTTCACCATTGGCGTCATCAGTGATGGCCTCTTCTTCATCGAGAGTGTGCTCGTCGTCGAAGTCATTGACCAACATATCAGCCGATGGATCAAAGTCTTGATCACTATCTGTCCCTAAATCACAAATAATACATAATTAATACAAACTTTGAAAACTTACGAAAATATGATAAAAGTGTGACTAATTAAAAAGTAATGAGAAATACGAAAAAACTTGAAAACAAATACATCTGATATGAAAAGAAACCATAATTTGATAGCAAAATAAACTCAAACCTAACGATAAGATCTACATTTGCAATGAAAGCGAGTTTACAATACATGAAAAGCCATGAAAAATGATTAAAACTCCAATCAAAGAGTAATTGAAAACAAATGAAAAGTTAATAAAACAAATGAAAAGAAACAAAAGTGGAAAAGTGGTAAAACAAGTGGAAAAGTGTGATTAAAGGGCTAAAAGTTGGCATTAATTGCGAGGAAAGTGCCGCAAATGATAGGAAAGTGTATTCATGAGAGAAACACATGAATGGGTTATGCAATGAAGGGTTGTGTGGACTGACCCGCACTCGACTCACTAGCGCTGGGTTGTGGCGCCGACATAGTGTGCACTCTGGCGGTGGACCACAAGTTACGGTGCTCTCGGGCGCGAGCTGTGGTGTGTCTGTGGCGGTGCTGTCGTTGCAGTCAATGCATGGATGCCTGCGAGCAGTGGTGAAGCGGTCGAGCGGTGGTCAGCACTCGAGTCACACACAGACTTCATCAGCCATTGTTGTCAACAATCAATGAATGACTCAATGGTGGGGAACCGGAAACGAGTGCTGAGTCGGCGCACAACACACCCTTTCCACAGTATTGGCGCCAATTTCAACACTATTTTACAGTATTTGCAGTGAAAATGTGACTCTCATTGCAGTCTGTGTTCATTGCATACACCGACCACTTATCAGAAGTTACTCGCGAGTAGACATCACTCACTTGTCTTTACTTATCATTCATGGCTATCATGCATATGAGTAGTCCATATACTATAATATGTTTGGCTCGGGTGGTGGTGGCATGAGTGGACAGTATGTATGGTATTAATGGTAAACTGGTTTGTCATGATTATGAGTTCTCATTGCTAACATATTCATTGATTTAGTGGTCAAATAGGGTAGACATTTTGTACAGTGCATGTGGTTTATTCATTTTCTAGCATTATAGTATTCAATTATTATTATATTATACATTTTTAATATTCAACTTACAAGCTTTAATTGATATTAACAATAACCTATGATACATTAAATAAGCAATCAAGAATAATACATGTTTCATATGAAACAAAGTTTTAAATTTTCAAAATATTTGTTTAATAAAATGAAAAACAAAAGAAATGACAGATTAGTATTGATTGAAAAATTATAATTAATGCATGTTTAAGTGCTTTGAGATTAAAATCTAATTTTTAAATTTAATTATTTCTAATGGCATGTCCTCTAAGGCTATAATCAAGTATTCAGTTAATTAATGACCAAAAGGTGTGCTTTTCTTTCAGTTTTAATCTTTTTATTTCATGTTTTGATTTAAAGATTGTTTTTATAAATTGCATATTTTTAATACTTCAATATTTTATATTATATTGAATAATAATTCAAAGTTTTTTTTTATATATTTTGATTTATTAAAAATATTTATAATAAATCTTAAATTAGAGGCAAAATTATATTTGTATTCACATCAATAAAATTAGGTTTAATATTAAATAATAAATTGCAATGAATGAATAAATTCAAATAATAATTTATTTTATACAACTTATTTTGTTGTACAGTAAAATTTGAAAATATATTACAAATTGTATATAAAAGACTAGAATAGATAAATAGTTACTAGAAATTATCGACTCATTATATTTATAGATATAATTTAGTAGTATGAAAATATGTCTCAAATCAACCAAATTATTGTGAATTTCTAAATACATTCAAAAGAATTATTTAGTAAAATGTGGTCATTATATAAATTAATTGATTGAAATGTTTTTAACTATACATCAGATTAAGACTAAATAAGTTAAAAGATTTAAAAGTTTTCAGGTATTTGAGTTAAATTAATTAAATAAAAAACTTTTCTAATCAATTAATCTATTTGTACAGAAATATCCAACATTTTAAGGCGAGAGATAGAGATTTATATAAAATTGTGATTTTAATAAATATTTGCAATTACGGTATAAAGAGAGAGATGAAAATCATGTGCATTGAGGCAATTGACAGGTTTGAAGGAGTTTTGGTTTTTGATCTAAATTACAATATTTGTGATCTATTATAGACAACAAGTTTTCTGCGGTCTTCTCAATACAATAGGCGACTCGCGTTCTGTAGGCCCGACCACAGGTTGCCGTACAGGCCGTCCAGTCCTCTGTTCTCCAGCTTTTGTATAAACCGTAAACAGAAATAATTAATAAGTTTTCATTATATTTTGTTTGAATTTAAGAAAAACAATAAATAAATTATTTGATGGATTGGTTTGCGTACAAACAACTCATCTATGGATCACTTGATCCTATTTATAAACATTTGATTTATTTAACAACTTTTTTTAAGGGAAATAATGAAAATAATTAGCGAGATATTTATCCATCAAATAATTTATTACATTTAAACCTAATTATGTTATTCACGAACTGGCGTTCAATCAAATGGCGGGACAGCCCTCACAATTAATTACCTGCCAATACATGGATGAGAATTGCATTGTTCCAGCGCTCTGTGAACTGGCTTAGGGCTGGCACTGCACAGGGAGTCGTCTACTTTGTATTTGCCGGCGTGACAGTACACCTCGACTTTCCTGAATCCCTGTCCGCAATAGCGGTCGCATTCGCTCATTGAAATGCTCCACACGTAGGGCTCGACACTCAGTGTGGCGTTACGGTCGTCACTACTGGACAGTCGTATAGGTCTTGAGGTGTTTGGCGCCGGCCATCGGGGGTGAGTGAGAGGCACCCATTGGTTTCGGTTGAACCAACCGGCCGTCTCGGATGACAGATCTGTTTGCTCTTGAATTCCGGATTTTCTGAACACCAGATTAGCGGACCTCCGGTGCCGGTTGTGAAACATGAACTCATCGCTCAGTATTTGTTTCACTTGAAGCCTTCCGCTCGCGTCTAACAAATCATATATTTAATGCATTTATAGTAATTCATTAATAACTAAACATTTCTTTTGCAAACCATTATCGACAGCCAAATTGTTTTCGTCAAATTTAATACACTTTCCATTCAGACAATAGGATTTATCTCCCGAACCGAAGCTGCAATCCGTACCAAATGGAAACTTGCCGTCAGTGAACGCGTCCATTTGGTAGTGAATGTCTTTCCACACCCTGTCCTGACAGGCCACTATGCACCCGGAGTTTATATTTGCTAAATGTTTCAGTATTATATGTTAACTACTGTAATAAGCTAATGAAAGTTTTTGTCTATAATCACTTGTTTTTGGTGATAATTGTCTACCGATTCCACTCAAAAGTGTCGGATATTTAATCCGATATTTTTGGCAAATCATATTCGCGTATTCCTCAGCGGTTTGTAATATATTATTAATACAGTAATCCTTTTGATCGTCGCATAACTGAAACGACTCCTTTCGTGTCCCACAACTCGTTCTGCAATTAATTTAATCATTAATTTTTTGCAAACATTTATTTAGCATCAGATGTGCTTGAAATTCAATTAAATAGAAATTTATTCTCCTTTTATTTTGTTATTACATATTACACATTAATAATAAAGAATTAATTGTTTTGCAATCAAAATTGCTGTAAATTTTGGGATAATTTTTATTTAATCTGAGCAGCAAATAAATTATTTTCATAAATACTTATTTGATTTTACGCTAATATTAATTGCATTTTATGTATTTAATTCAAGTTTGAAGTAAAAAATTGAAACCAATAAATTAAACTGTTTTGATTTTATTTAATCTGTGCTTTAATTAAGAAAAGTTTTTGTATAAAAAAACTAAAAATATTTTATTCCCCAAAAAATACATGTTTGACATAACTTTTGCAGTTTAAGGACAAATATATTATATAATAATGTTTAGCAAAATGTTTTATTCGAGGGGTCGGTGACCACTGATGCTAAACAAGAGTATATACCGTATATTTGTTGATTTTATTTTGAATAACTCATAATAACGCTACAAAACATGTGTAAAACAAGTCCTAATCGAGTGAATTATAAAAGTATTTATCTTATGATTAATTGTTTGTAAAGTAAACCAATGATGCCATCAGAGCATCTCTTAATTTAAGGGTTGGGTACTTATGCTCTCATTTGTATTCAATTGTTTATGAATTTTATTTTATAATTTTAGCGAAAGTTTCTTTGTTTGCTTTGTATTATAACGTATAAAAATGAAGAATAAATTATTTGATAAAAATTTGTTTGTAAACTAATCTCAAAGAAAATGCTTTATATATTCTGTAAAATCGAAATGAATTTCTGATAAAAAAAACTCTTAATCTATTAATTAATATTAAGTTTCATTCCGCATATCGCTTTCTCAGACAATAAGTTTTATTAAAATTAATTCAATTCATAGATTAAAGCAATTTTGTTCCCAAATGTTTTGATTGAAATGAAATAATTCACAAATCAATCAAAAATATGTATTTCATAGGAAAAAGGCAAATGAATTACTAATGAAAATGAAAATCATTAAAACTTACATTAAATTGCAATCTCTGTTCACAAGTCGAAAGCCCTTTGATTCGGTTAAACAATTATATCTGCATTTGCTTATAGGAAACCAATGACCCCACCCCTGATCCTTAGGGCTTTCATAGAGTAAATCTATTAATTAAAGTGTAATATAATGTAAGTGTGAAAACAGTTTAACCCAAATGGTTGGCCTCACGTGAACTGGAAGTGCATTGTTCTGGCGATTCATGTGTTTTACTCAAACCATTGCAATCAAAGTGACGGCACTCGCCGTCAAAACAGAAACGATTAGCATTGCGTCCGTTCTCTTGACCACAAGGAGTGCCGTCCGGCATCTTCCAGCCCTGAGTCATATAACCCCCGCCTTTCTTATGGCACCAAACGAAACACGAATGAGAGGCTGAAAATGCATCAAATCATAGGCTTTTCATCCAAAGTATTCATGAGATGACATGTCATTTGCATACAATCATAGCTCGGATATTGTGTGCCTTTAGGCTCCAAGTTGGTGTTCCTGAGGGCCGCGGCTCTACACGTGTCGCTTATGTACTCCTCGACCCCCAGACTCCGGTATGAATACGAACTACATATCTGCAGATAATATCACCACAAATGGGAATCAATTTATTTTAAATAAAACTAATTTAAATTAAATATTTGCTGTATGTAATTGTAATAATTTCACCTAGTTAATAATGTAATTCTTCATAACAAAAATAATTTAAATAATAACTTCTAATTTCAATAAATATAATGCTGATTGTAATAAAGTGAATAAAAATAAAATCAAACTTTTCACTTATTTATTGTTTGAAAATTGGAGCAAAAAATCGTGTGAATTATCCAAACATTGGAAATGTTGAGAAATAGCGCATAAAATGTGTGGAAATTTATTCAAATCTTTGGTTTAATATTCTCCGTATCATTAGTTCAGTGAAAACCTATAATTTTATTTAAAATTATTTTCATTTTTTCTAAATGTTTTGTAATGACTTATTATATGGTATCAAAAAAGGAGTCAATTATATGAACGCGTGATTCGTTTGGGATCTGTTCACAGGATTTATGAAAACTACAATTTTGGGCTAAAGTGTGGAT